AAAAGCCTGGCCCAGATCACCGCCACCCTGCGAGAGAAGAACATCGCCTATAGATGGGGGTACCCGGCCAAACTACTGATCCACCGTGAAGGGAAAATGCATGTGGTAATTAATCCAGAAATGGGGCTTGGTAAGCTCAAGGACTGGGGAATACAAGTCCGAGACGAGATGAAACAACCCCATCACAAAACCCCTAGGGTAACCAGAGACTGGTCAACCACTTGAACATTGCAACCTTCTCCTGCCTCCGTAAGGAGGTAGGCTGTGGATAACCCATGGTTATATCGCTAAACATTTACTACAGCGAAAGTGTAAGTTTAAATTAACCATTGTATTACGTTATGTTTCCCCTTCGGTTATTATATCCTGTACTATTAGTTATAAGCGTACAATATTATAGATGCAGGGGCTGGTTAACTGGACCTTTGGGACACAGGCACTACACATTAGGGCCCCCATCCTGAAATGCCAGGGAACTAAACCCAGATAGGCGCTCATTATCCTAGCAATGCAACGCTGCGGCCCCACTGCTGCAGCCACGAATGAGTCACCGGAATATGACCGGGCTCATACACCCACCCCCCAACAAATGTGACCGGGACCCCCCCGGCACATCTCAGCTCCTTATGGAGACGTTCTTTAAGACGTACTGTCTAACTGTTTGTTTTACACCTCCTAAGTTTCCCCCACCTTCTGAAATCCCCTCCCCCCATGTCCCATATAGCATCAACAGAAACCAACCACCGCCTTCTAGCCACACTGAACCGAAGGCATGCAAGCTGAATCCCACCATAGTGACGACCAAGAGTAGATCCAGAAAACACTCGCTATACCATTATGAAATTAGTCTCATACAACGTAAAAGGATTAAACACCCCTGGTAAAAGGAGGCTACTGCTTAAAGACCTCACGAACCATAGGGTTGACATAGCATGTATCCAGGAAACACACTTTAGGGATGACCACACCCCGGCAATATATATGAAGACATATCCCACTCAGTTCCACTCCCAAGCTGCCACAAAATCAAGAGGGGTGACAGTCCTCATACACAAAGATGTAGCAGCTACCATACAGCAACAGTGTATAGACCCGAAAGGCAGATATGTCATACTAGTGGGCCAGTTTAACAACGTCCAACTAACGCTAGTAGCCACATACTTCCCCAATGAGAAACAGGGGCAGTACCTACAAATGCTGCTCAACCTAACTGACAAGATTAAACAGGGTGGAGTAATACTATGCGGGGACTTTAATTGTATCCAGTCGCCCACCCTAGACACGACAGCCACCCTCACGGGTAATAGTAAAAAAAGGATGGTCTCTACTAGCAAACTTTTCACTAAGCTGATAGACCGCTATGACTTGTATGATGCGTGGAGAACACTACACCCCGGAGACAGAGACTACACCTTCCACTCGAGGGTCCATAACACTTATACACGCATAGACACGGTCCTCCTAGATAGGCCACTTCTAGCACAACTCAAGGAATGTACGATAGGGGAAATAACATGGTCAGACCATGGACCGGTGTATCTTGACCTCCTAGACGCCTACCAATTCAAGGGGAGGGGAACATGGCGCCTGAATGACTCATTGCTGCTGAACTCAACCTTTGCAGAGGAGAGTAGGGAGGCACTCCGGAACTACTTTGCTACCAATGTAGGGGAAGGGGTCTCTCACAAAGCAGTCATGAGAGGGATATTCATTAGAAGGGCATCCTTCCTGAAACGGCACCACCAAACCACTCTCCTAGACTGTCAAAAACAATTGGCATTAGTATCCAAACAAAACAAGCAACAACCCTCCCCAACACTAGCAACAAAACTACAACAATTACACACGAGACTGAAAGAACTAAACACAGAAAAAACAAAAAACTTACTCTATAAACTGAAAGCCAATGTCTACCACAATGGAGGTAAAGCCAGTAAATACTTGGCCAATAGACTAAGAGCCAGATATGCCAACACGAAAATCGCACGAATCACAGGGGCAGACGGCAAATCACGCCACTCGCCAGCAGACATTAGCAAAGAATTCGCCGACTTCTACTCCAAGCTATACAACCTACAATCACAAGACACCACACACACAGCGAGCCACGCAGACATAGACGAATATTTGAGACGAACCAATCTCCCCCAAATATCCCAAGTCCAAAAAATGAATCTGACTAAACCCATAGAAATACAGGAAATCCTAAAGGTGATAGCGGGTCTCCCTCAGGGAAAATCTCCAGGGGCAGATGGCTTCACTAATGCTTACTATAAGCTATTCGCCACAGAACTGGCCCCACACCTACTTAAGGTGTACCAGGCTACCGCAAACTCAGGGACTTTACCATCAGAGATGCTCTTAGCCACTATCGTCACAATCCCTAAGCCGGGGAAAACACCAGACAAATGCCAAAACTACCGTCCAATCTCACTGCTCAATACTGATGCCAAAATATACGCGAAAATATTAGCTAACAGAATCAGCGACATACTTCCTAACCTCATAGGAGATGACCAGACGGGGTTCGTGACGGGTAGACAGGGACTGGACAATACTAGAAAATTGACGCTGCTACTAGAAGGCCTACGGAGAAGCAGGGAAGGAGGACTGTTACTAGCCCTAGACGCCGAAAAGGCATTTGATCGCCTCAGCTGGCCCTTCCTAGACCGAACCCTAAGAGCATATGGATTCCCACTGACCGCGATAAACCAAATATTCGCTCTCTACTCCGGCCCGGCAGCACAGGTCCTTCAATCAGGGTTCAAATCTGCACCCTTTGACATCACTAACGGGACGAGACAGGGATGCCCGCTCTCCCCTCTCCTATATGTGCTGGCACTTGAACCCCTACTCCGTACTATCAGGGCTCACCCAGAGATTACGGGCATTAAGGTAAAGAGCACCGAATATAAAATCAGCGCCTTTGCAGACGACATCTTACTATATGTAATTAGACCCCAAGACTCACTACCACACATAATGCAGGCAATACAAACATACGGCCGCCTATCATACTACTCCCTAAACTCCTCAAAAACCCAAGCCATGGGGATAAACCTTCCCTCCTCCCTAATCCAATCGCTACGCATCGAATATGACTTTGACTGGAGGAAAGACTTTATAACATACCTGGGGCTCCATATCACCAAACAAACCAAAGACTTAATAAAGGTGAACCACATTAGAGTGTGGGACGAGTGCAAGGCAACCCTCAAACTGTGGGGGCCCCTATTCCTTACATGGACCGAACGAGTGACTGCACTGAAAATGTCCATACTTCCCAGGCTACAGTATGTCTTTAGAACGCTGCCCATAGGGGTTCCCCAAACGTACTTCAAAGCAATTCAAAAAGACATCAACACATTTATATGGAACGGAAAGAAACCGCGAGTAGCGCAGAAACTGCTGACAGCACCGCTGAAAGCAGGTGGCCTGGCAGTACCAGACATACGTGCCTACTACCATGCCTCCATACTGGCATCAGCACTGCCACACTTGCTAGACCAACCACCCCCCCAGTGGGTGACATTAGAACAACACCTGATGGAACCGTACGAACTATCACACGTGTTATGGCTCCCCAGGACACTTAGGCCACCAATGATAGATATCCCTGCACAGATCACTTTACTCCTAAAAGTCTGGGATACACACAGAAACAAGCTGAGCTCGAACCCCTGTGTCTCACATGCCACCCCAATACGTGCCCTAACATATTGCATACCCACATTCCACGCGGCTCCATGGCAAGAAAGAGGCATCACAACCTTAGCACATGCCCACACGGGTAACGCGCTCACAGATTTCAACACGCTACAACAAACATTTAACATTCCGACCTCCTCACACTTCTCTTATAGACAACTGGCATCCTTCCTACACAAACACAACACAAAGGATCTCACTAAGCACAGTTCAGGCCTACCCTTGAGCACCCTCTGGGAGGACATCTGCATCAAACGCAGACTCCCGAAGACATACAGGCCACTGTCATCCTGTTATAAAATGATCTTAGATTACACACCCTTAGCAACAGCCTCGCCGGCAACACAATGGGAGAGAGAATTGGCCACAGACCTCACCAGACAACAGTGGGAAGACCTAGTGACCTCCCCCAGGAAACTGATAAAATCAGCGACGCTCATAGAGCAACATATGAAGTTGGTGTACAGGTGGTACCTGGTCCCTGAAAAACTACACAAACTTTACCCAGCCAGCTCTCCAGAATGCTGGAGATGCACCAAACATATTGGCACAACACTACATGTCTGGTGGAGCTGCCCATTGATACAACCCTTCTGGAAAGCCATCCGGGAGGTGCTCAGGGGAATCACACTAGAAGAGCCGAAGTACGATCCTAGCACGTACCTCCTGCTTGCAATCCCCCCCAAGACACCCCAGTACATAAAGAAACTCATATACCACCTTCTACTCACAGCCCAACGAGTAATCGCAAGGGCATGGAAATCTCGCACCACTCCGCCTTTAGAATTAGTACTAGCAGAAATGGATACCCAAAGTATATACGAGAACCAATTCCATACAATATGCCCTCCCAATGTAACAACATTGGCTACTTGGGAGAGATGGGAGAACTGGAGACGAAAGCACCCGCCATAACAACTGCCTACCACACAACCCCCCTATGACACAGGGCATCTGGGAGGGAGACATGATGAGTGGCCAAGACAAGGGATAGCGGACACTGGACAAAGCGCAGCGAGGTCAATAGTAACCTACAAAGGTATTATTACTTAGACTAGCGGATAGGAGAATGAACATATATGTAAATACGTAACTATGTAACGTCTTGGTGTGATGGCTGGATGGAAATGCTTAATTGATGCTTACCTTCCCCCCCCCCTTTTTCTTTCTTCTGTATCCCCCCCCCATCACCCAGTTCTCATTGAACATTATGTTGAACAAAATAAAAATTGTCAAATTTAAAAAAAAAAAAAATAGCAGTAATAAAGTCCAAAGCCACCGCCTCTCCATAATTATTGACCTCCTGGGGTTCGGTGGACATTTTGCTGCATTTCCCAGTATGCCACTGGCATCACGTCGTGCATGATGACGTCATACTTGATGTTGTGCGTCATGACGTCATGTTGCTAAGAAACAATAAACAAATGTAAGGAAACGTTCTACACTGATCTCCTAGGAGATCAGAAAGCATCAAACTATGGCAAAGCAATCGAGAACAGATAAAGATTTCTCAATAGGAGCAAATAGAAGAGCACAAAAGGTCATATAAACATTAAATGGGTGCAAGCCCTATTACAATGCAACAAAAGAGTAGCTCATAATATAATAAAGTAAAATATTGGGAAAGAAAAAGAATAATAACTAGGTATCAGAAGGAATCCAAATGAACAGTGCACAAAAACAGTTACATAGTTACATAGCTGAAAAGAGACTTGTGTCCATCAAGTTCAGCCTTCCTCACATTTGTTTTTGATGTTGATCCAAAAGAAGGCAAAAAAAACAAACAGTTTGAAGCACTTCCAATTTTGCAACAAGCTAGGAAAAAAATTCCTTCTTGACCCCAGAATGACAGTCAGATTTATTCTTGGATCAAGCAGTTATTATGTCCTTGAATATTCTGTTTTTGCAAGTATGCATCTAGTAGCTGTTTGAATATCTGTATGGACTCTGATAAAACCACTTCTTCAGGCAGAGAATTCCACATCCTTATTGTTCTTACAGTAAAAAAACCTTTCCTTTGCCTTAGACAAAATCTTCTTTCTTCCAGTCTAAACGCATGACTTTGTGTCCTATGTAAAGTCCGGTTTGTTAGATTTCCACACAATGGTTTGTATTGGCCCTAAATATATTTGTATAATGTTATCTCAGGCAACGTTTTTCTAAACTAAATAGGTTTAAATGTATTAACCTTTCTTCATAGCTGATATGTTCCAATCCTTGTATTAATTTTGTAGCCCGCCTCTGCACTTTTTCTAGTGCCATAATATCCTTCTTTAGAACAGGTGCCCAAAATTGCACAGCATATTCAATATGTGGTCTTACCACTGAATTATAAAGAGGCACAATTATATTCTTGTCTCGAGAATGAATGCCCCTTTTCATGCATGACAATACCTTACTGGCCTTGGCCACGGCTGATTGACATTGCACATTGTTGCATAGTTTGTTATCTATAACAATTCCCAAGTCCTTTTAGTGTGTTGTTATCCCTAATTCGCTTCCATTAAGGGTATACGTTGCTTGTGTATTATTTACGTCAACATGCATAACTTTGCATTTTTCAACATTAAATTTCATCTGCCATTTGAGTGCCCAGTCACCCAGTCTATCTAAATCCCTCTGCAGCAAAGTAATATCTTGCTCACATTGTGTTATTTTACAGAGTTTTGTGTCATCTGCAAACACTAAAACATGACTTTCAATGCTTTCTTCAAGATCATTTATAAACAGGTTAAATAGAAGGGGTGCCAGGACAGACCCCTGAGGGATACTACTTGCCACCTCTGTCCAGCTTGAAAATGTATCATTAATTTCAACTCTTTGTACTCTATTTTTAAGCCAATGTTCTACTCAAGAACAAGCATTTTCATCTAGACCGATTTCTTTGAGTTTGAACACTAATCTATTGTGTGGAACTGTATCAAATGGCAAAATCCAAATAGATCACATCCACTGCAACACCCTGATCTATACTTCTACTTACTTCTTCGTAGAACACAATCAAGTTCGTTTGACTTGACCTGTGCTTCATAAAACCATGCTGATTTTTGCTGATAACCATGTTCTTCTCAAGGAATTCTTGAATATTATCCCTTAATAACCTTTCAAATATTTTCCCAGCCACAGAAGTTAAGCTCACCAGTCTATAATTTCCAGGCAAGAATTTTGAACCTTTTTTGAATATAGGAACCACATCTGCCTTCCTCCAATCCTCGAGAACACTTCCTGAAAGAAAAGAATCTTGAAAGATTAAAAACAGAGGTTCACATATTTCTACACTTAGTTCTTTAAGTACTCGTGGATGGATACCGTCAGGCCCTGGAGCTTTGTTTATATTAACTTTCTTGAGTTGCAGCAGCACCTTGTCTTGAGTTAACCAATTACAATTATTCTGCAAGTTTTTAGTAGAAATCATTTGCACATCTATTGCCATAGGTTCTTTCTTAATATATATGGAGGAGAAATAGTTATTTTAAATCCCTACCTTTTCCTGGTCTTCATTAACTAACACCCCCGTTTCAGTTTTTAGTGTACCTACACTTAAATTTTTTTGCTTTTTTAGAATTTATGTACTTAAAAAATGCTTTGGGGTTGGTTTTGCACTCTTTAGCTATCATTCTTTAAATTTGAAGTTAAGCAAATCTAATCACCTTTTTGCATGCATTATTGGCTTCCTTATATCTTTTATAAGATGCATCTGATTTGTCCGATTTAAATACTTTAAATGCCCTTTTCTTATTTTTAATCTCTTGTTTTACTTCTCTACTCAGCCACATTGGTTTTAATTTGTTTCTTTTATATTTATTACCCAATGGTATATACTGAGAAATGTACCTTTCTAATATTTGTTGGAAGATGTTCTATTTATCCTCAGTGTTCTTTTCACTAAAGAGTTTATGCCAGTCAATATATTGTAAAGCTGCCCTTAACTTATAGAAATTTGCCTTTTTAAAATTATATGTTTTAGTATACGCCATGTGCTTTTGTTTTTTTGAGTTTATTTCAAAGAAAACTATATTGGGATCACTATTTCCCAAGTGCTCACCCACTTGAATGTTGGTCAAAAGATCAACAGTAATAGCAACATACATATAATATATGCAAAAAGTATATACAGAGAGTCTAATCCCAACCAGAATGAAAATAAGTAGGGTTCAAACAAAGAACACCCCCACAAAGTAGTGGGGACTAGATGGAGCACATCTGGTAGAAAGGAAAGGACTGATGTCAACAAAGGACATTTAAAGAGACAGTAGCACTGTTACAGAGCAAAATGATCTACTAAAATAACTAAGTAGACCATAGGAAGAAACCTAAGGTAAACAATAGTGGGTGAATATACTTACAAGACTCGCCATCCGGTGGGTGCAAAAATTGACATACCTACATGAACCAGTGCCACTCAAGCTTTTAATTGAGACCATGAGGGGCCACTGTATCCAGCAGGTATGTCCAACAGACTTCGTTATGTAGAAGGATCTTTTCCCTATTGACTCCTCTCACTAAAGGGAGTACCCTTTCAAGAACCTTGTACCTGAGTTGAGACACATTGTGCCTCATTTTCCTGAAGTATCGAGCTACAAGGGTGTCTGCTTCAGGACTACGGATAGTGGTTTTGTATTGTAAGATGCAGTCTTTTAATGCATGTATTGTTTTGCCCACATTACCTAAACCACATTGGCATTTGAGAAAGTATGAAGGATCCTTGACAGTCTTTTCCATATCACCACTAATCCCTCCTCATGTGGAATTGATGTGTAAATGTTTGAAACATCGAATGTAACCAACCGGTAGGTTCAGTAGGTACAGTAGGTGCTATTCTCAAGTTGCATATCTTAGTCAGGAAGTCTTTAGTGTGCTTTATGTATGATTTTGCCAAGGTCACCAGTGGTTGGAGGAACTAATCAATATATATTGCCAATGGCTGGAAGATTGAATCAGTTCCTGCAACTATCGGTAGCATTCTTGTATTTTTGGTAAAATATAGAATACTGGTGTAACTGGAAACATGTTTAACAAGAGATATGCGCTTTAGGGTTATTTTTAAGAATTTTATAATTTGTTCTATCAAGCAGCTGCCTCATAATTAATGTATGATAATTATTTTTGTCCTTTATTACTATCAAACCACCTTTATCAGCCGGCTTGATAACAATCTCAGGGTTCTGAGACAACTCTTTCTGTGCTTGTTTCTCTTTCAGAGAGATATGTTTGATTTCCTGATTATGCCATGGTAGCTGCTCATTTTTGGATCTCACTAAGTTTGTGAATGTTTGTACTGAACTGTTTGGTACTAAAGAAAAGAAAGTGATTCTGTGTCTACAAAACTCCAAGCTAACCTGAAACTCTTGGGATCCTGAAAATCCGAATGCATCCACCGCTGGGTCATTGTCTTGTTGCTGCTGCTGGCCTTCGCTGGACTGGGTTTAGAAAGAAAACAGAAAGATGAATGCGACAAAGATCAACTATACAGTTACATTTGCCAAACTTATTAGAAGGCACAAAATTAAAGCCTTTATTTAGTGCTTTAGATTGATACTCAGTCAATGTATAGTTAGAGAGGTTAAGTACCCCTTGTCTCTTGACCCTCTCTTCATTGCTTCCCTGCGTGTTTCCCGCTTGTCTTTTTTTGTAGCTGGAGGTACCCCTGTTGCCACATCTTGTGGGGGCTGAACCCCCTAAAAAAGATCTTCCTACAGATAGGGTTTCTCTTGAAGAGGATTGTTGTACTGGTTTCCTTGTTATTTTTTGTTGCGTCTGTTGTTTCCATGTGTAGACTCTGTCGTATTGGTAATCCAATGTATCTCTCTTAAATGTATGAATTTTGATACTTTCAAGCTCCTTGTTTAGTGTGGAGATGCTCACGGTGATTTCCTGTGTTAGTCTTTGGAAATTTTTCACCTCAATCCGTGCTGTGAGGAGAGCAGTAATTTCAACCTTCTGTGTAGTGATCTTATCCAGTTCCTCGTTAATGCCTTCAATTCTGAGAGCAATTAAATCCAAAGCACATTTATTTAGAATTTGAAACCACATCTTATAGTGGTTTGTATTGCCCTTGCACAGAGTGGGGACAAGCAAGACCCTTAAACCCCTGGGTATAAGTTTAACTGATTATTCAGTAAGCGTGGTTTGGTGAATCCTGTAATTCACCTCTTTTTTAGACAGTGCTTCCAGTCTCTTCTACAATCCTGCAGAATCTGTTTCCCTTAGGAAGGCTCCACTATTGGGGGAATTAGCTCCAATGATGGACTCAAGATGCTATTCAGTAAAGGGAAAAACTTCTGCCTTATTAGTAGTTATATTTTCGATATCGTAAATATAGTAGTTATATTTTCCCTACCTATTAGTACTGAAAGACATATTAAAAGGTATGTGATGATCTATGAAAAGGAAGCATGTTGTTTTAGGGAAATTTAGGGAGATTTGAACACTGAACCTGAGATGTGTACTGAGATGTGTAGCAGCAAAACCATGACTTATTGCAGGGGAGCATATACATTTCAAGCAGAGGCTCTTGACAGTTTGATAGAAGCAAATGAAGCAACAAGCAGACGATTGCAGACTAGTGCATTTGAAATTATCATAGCTAGATCTGTGCATGGCGCAGTTGTTGGGGGTTAGGGTAATAGCCAAAAAATATTGCTTTTATTCATAGTCCAAGGCAAAATTGACAAACAGAGAGAAAATGGAGGAGCAGAAAAAAAAATCTATGTTTATATATTACATATTTTATGAAAAAATATGAAATATAAATATAGAGTTTCTTTCTGCTCCTCCTTTTTTGCTTTATTGGTTACTTTTTTTAAAATTTGATCTGTGAACCAAATGGCAGGAAGATACAATCACTGCTTCTGGATTCTTGATCACATGACCTAAACTTAGAAGATACAATTATATAATAGCCAAATAAAACATAAATTTAAGAATATTATATGAAAAATAAACTTATTGGTCATCAATTGTTTCAATTAATATATATATATTATACAAACTCCCGGACTGCTCACTGAGATCAAGGGAACCCACGAGAATCCAGAAGCAGGGAATGTACCACTTACACTCATACAAGTGGAGCTCTCAATATGTGTAAATGTATTCCTTCCATTTTATTAGAAATACAGCCCTATATATATTCTCCTTCTCTGTTACACATATCATCAAAAAATACTGTAAAGCTCTTTACAATAGAGATATGCCTGAAATTCATCCATCCAGAAAAAAAGAAAAATACATTTTAGAAAAAAATGGTTCAGCTTAAATCTGTCATTTTTTTACATGTGAATACTATATAAAATAGAAGATTTTTACATTCCCCAAACACGGAATAGATACTTGAATTCAACTGGATCTTGCGCAGACACAGTCAAATCTGGTAAATAAATTAACTTGCATTTTGAGACTAGACCAGAGTACAAATAGTTATAAAATAAAAAAAAATAGGTTGTCTGTAGTGGCTTACAACCTATTGCTTGTTCTTGAAACCTCCCCTGTAAAAAGTAACAAAAATATCCATATGGGGTCGATATTATAGCCAAATAAGACAGACAGAAGCATGCCCCTCCCTGCATTCTGCAAGTGGAGGCACATCAACTAAATTGTGAGTAGAGCCATTTTTCACCGATGGGCATAAGGTGGGAGGGATGATTAATTAAAGGGAGTGGGCATATTATTTGTCCAGCCCACTTACTAACCACCATAGACCTTCTTGGATTAAAGTCCCTTTTCACTCAGGTGACAGGTTTCTTTCTACTTCTTCCCAAACCTCTAGCCATCTCCATGAAATTGTATCTAACTACCTACTTCAGACTCATAATGGTGTGAGGAGGTCCAATACATCTAAAATACTAGCCAATAATGTTTCTATACTTAGAAAAGGAAGTCTTCATTACTTAAAGATTTCTTCTCCCCCCCAAAAAAAATTTTTTTAATTCTGTTATAACCTCCCCCCTCCCAAAAAAAAAAGAAGCACTAAAGAACAGTAACAAAGAACATTTGAAAAAAGAGCAATAGTGTTTTATGTACTAGCCGAGGAAGACACATAGTAGCAAAACTACTCTCGATGTCAATGTGAGAGGATCTGCCCATTTGTTGCTGTGTACACAGAAGTTTGAATTGAATACGTAGTAGTAGGCAAGTTGCTATAAATTACAGAGCAGCTTTGCTAGATTGCTACTTTGGAATGTAAAATTGTAGACATTTATTTCGGCAGAGGTCTTTATACTCTGCACTTGGCTGTTTTTTTATTGATCTTAGTTTGACAAAATGTTTGTCATTATCCAGATTCTGAGGATTCTGGTGTCTATATGGAGGAATAATACTCACCTCACCTCACAATTTTTATCCAACAATCTACTGGGTTTGATCCTCTTGGTGCTCAGCTGTTTGAATGGCATACTACTTTTTCAGTTGGTCCATATAAGAGTGTGTTGGGAGGATATATAGTTAAAATTATATTTCAGTTCATTGAATCAATGTATCTCTATCAGGAAAATTTAGCGTCCACATTAAGAGCATGAAGACGCTGAACATCAGTACTGCCTAATGTGCAGCACTGGGCCAGGAAGCACCTTCAGTGGCCGTCTGACGAGTGGCCACTCGGAGGTGTCCCTTGGGGCAATGTAAACACTGCCTTTTCTATATTTGCATAAAAATGCCTGAAGGCAGTGATTATAATCACCAGAAAAACTACATTAATCTGTAGTTGTTCTGGTGACTATAGTGTCCCTTTAAATTACTTCTGCTCCTATTAGGGAACTGTCACTTTTGCTACAGACTAGATGTGTGGGAAAGCTTTGTTCTTCTCAGGGTTAACATGTTGAGTGGATTATCAACAGGGATAATGCAAGGATGTTTGACTACACAGACAATAATGCCTTTTGTCACCCCTCCCCCCCCCAAAAAAATATGCATGTGTCTATTAATACCCGTCTTGACTTTCGTACCACCTTTATTGTTTCTTATCCCCACTTTTGAATGTTTTACCCCCTTTAGTGTATATTATTCCTCATTTGTGTCTTACAACCTCCTTGTATCTTATCCCTCATTGTTCCTTGTTTTGTGTCTAACATCTTCCTTCTGTGTCTCTTACAAATTCCACTTTGTGTGTCTCTTACTTACCCTCAACACCCTTTGTGCATCTTTTTTTAACCCCCAACCCTCTGTGTGTCTTTTACTTCCACCAGATCCATTGTGTGACTCTTATTTCTCCCAGTCCCTTTGTGTTCCCTTTTATTTCCCCAGCCCTGTTTTGTGTATTTTTCTCCCACCAACCTTTCTGTGTGTTTATACCCCCATCCCCATTGTGTGTTTCTTTCCTCCCCTTCCTCAGTCTCTCAGGTGTATCTTCCTCCCCAACCCCTTTTGTTCATCTCTTCCCCGCCGACACTTTGTGTGTCTCTCCCGCCCAGCCCCTTTTGGGTGTTTCAATCTCCCTTTCCCCAGCCCCTCAGGTGACTCTACTCCTCAGCACCTTGTCTCTATCTCCCCAACCTCTCTCTGTATCTCTTTTTCATCTTCTCCCACCTCTCTGTGTGTCTCACTGTGCTTGTTTTTTTTCCACTTCCCTAGCCCCTATGTGCATCTCTTTCAAGTCTCTGCTTGTGTGTCTCTTACATTCCAACCAGCTCCATTATGTGTTTCTTCTCCTCAGCACATTGTCTCTATCTTCCCAGCCTCTCTGTGTGTTTCTTTCCCCCAACCCCTCTCTGTGTCACTTTTCCCCAGCACCTTTGTGCATCTCTTATTCCACTTACCTAGCTCCTCTGTGTGTCTTACAAGTCCCTCTTTGTGTGTTTCTTACATTCCACCCAGCCTCTTTGTTTGTCAATTACTTACTCAGCCCCTTTGTGTCGCTTACTTCCACCAGCCCCATGCATCTCTTTCTTCCCCAATCCCTTCATGTGACTCTTTCTATCAGCCCCTTTTGTGACTCTTACTGTCACAAGCCACATTGTATATCTCTTACATTTCCCCAGACCCTTTGTCGCTTTCTTCCCCCAGCTGATTTTGTGATTTGTGCTGCCTTCGGCAGGACGGTGCTTGGTTACCACCTCCCCTCCCCCAAAATTTAAATTTTCCCCTCCCCTTCCAGTCAAGGCCACACTTTGACTGACAGACGCTTACTCACTGACAGACACATACTCACTGACAGATGCATACACTCATTGACAGACACACACACTCATTGACAGACACGCACTCTCATATACACTGACAAACAACGAGACACACACTTACTTGGACATACACTGACATATGCAGTCACTGACAGACTCACACACTCACTGACCGACGCATGCACGCACTCACTGACCAACACACACATTCCCTCACATAGACACACACACTTAAAGACACACGCACACACACATACACATTTACAGACACACACACACACTTACAGACACATACACATTCCAAACATGCACAAATTATTATTTTTTAAATTGTATTTTAAATTCACCCAGCCTCCCTGGGAGAGCTGGAGTGAATTCCTTACCTGCGGTCCAGTGGGGCATGCAGGTAGGGGGCGGACAGGCAGATTAGGCGGTGAGGAGGCTCTGATTTTCCTGATCAGCTCCCTCGCGCGCCTCTTAATGATGCCGGGAGCCGGTCTGGCTTCATTAGGCTGCGCGGAGGGAGTTGACCAGGAAGAGCTCAGGTGAGTATGCTCCCTTGCTGCCTGCCTCAGGGGGCTCAAAAGTGGCCAGTCAGTCAGCTCTTGAGCCCCCCAGGACACGAGGCAAGCAAGGGATCTGCCTGGGTGTTTGGGGCGGCTTTTTTTGTCTGTCTCTTCCCCCAAGCCCATTTGTGTGCCTCCTCCCCACAGCCACCATTTTGAGTATCTCTTTGTGTCTCTTTCTCTCTGTGTGTCTCTTCTCCTCAGCACCTTGTTTCTTTCTCCACAGCCCCTCTGTGTGTCTTATCTCCAAGCCCCTCTCTGTGTCTTTTTTTGTTCTTCCCAAGCCTTTCTTTGTATCCTTTTATGCTTCTCTTTCCCCCTTCCCTAGCCTTAAGTGGCACGTGAGGGAGCT